ATTCACTGAGGTAAACATGCAAAACCTTCATCACTTTGGGCTTTCCGACCACAATGACATTCAACATGACTGGAATACTGAGTTTGGTTCCAATATGGCACCTCTCAGCAGGAAGATCAGAAATAGATAACACTTTCTAAACATTCTTGGTATGAGTGAGTGAGGCATTCAAACAAGCATATCTGATATCATCCTCGATAATCTCCAGGATTTACATAACGATCACTCTCCACTATACCCTGGATGCATCCACGGCTTGGCCCGATGATTTTATTACCTCCCTTGGCTGGCTTTTTATCCAGTCAGGTGTCCACGCTGGGTAGTTGAGCGTACCAATCACAACTCACTTTCCCCTTCTTAAATTATCTAACCGTTTAAACTTGGCAACACAATTGATGCAGAGGGTACTCTGAAAGATGTGGAAGGAGTTCTTTTATATATTTTTTTAAAGTTTCAGATCTGTCAAGTTGTCTGTATTATTTCTCCACAAATCTGAGTGGTACTGCGAACAAACCTTCGCGACTGCGACCACTATCTTTGTTGACACTGGCAAGCTCGGATGTAACGGCGGCTTAGCTGACTGGCTACTGTGAGAATGCAGAGCCAGCAAAGGAAGGTAATATAATTATCGGGTCAAGCCATGGATGCATCCAGGGTATAGTGGAGAGTGATCGTAACGTATATCCTGGAGATTATCGAGGATGATCTGATATTTGTATCTCAAAATGTGTGTGTATGTGTGTGAGTTAAGTTTCACGCCGCTTTTAGCAATATTCCAGCAATATCACGGTGGGGGACACCAGAAAATGGGCTTCACACATTGTACCCATGTGGGGAATCGAACCCGAGTCTTTGCCGTGACGAGCGAACGCTTTAACCTCTAGGCTAGCGCACGCAATCTCAAAATTTAACTTGAGCATATAGTTCTGAGGATGGCTAATAACAGCCATACCAATATATGAACGTGCATATTATTTACTGTTGTACCCAACTGGTCCCCTGGCCTTAATCCAATAGAGCACGTTTGGGAAGCACTTGGGAGAAGGCTTCGTGGTCTTAGGAACCAACCTCAGAATTTGCAGGAACTTGGCGCTGCCTTGCAAGAGCAATGGCGCAGAATCCCCAACCACGTGTTCACAAGCATCAGGCAGTCGATGAGGAGACGGTGTTTGGCAGTGGTGAATGCGCGGGGCGGCCATACACGATATTGAACTGAGAAATTTCGCATTTTTATTCTTGTGACTTGACATTCTGTATACCCATGTTTTGGAACGGCGGTGTAGCCTAATGGAACTGATTATGGCACTGTCGGTGTATCGAGTACATCACACAGATCTCAGCAATGAAATAATAACAATTTAACCATCTTACCATCTCTTGTTCTTTTATAGTGCCCTGAAGAAAGAATGTGAACTTTCTTTTTTGACTCAGTATATATCTACAGGTTCAAGGCCAGTGCTGATTTGTTGGAAACGGAGTTAGTTTAGTTTTACGCCGCTTTTAGCAATGCTCCAGCCATATCACAGCGGGACACCAGAAATGGGCTTCACACATTGTACCCGTGTGGGGAATCGAACCTGAGTCTTCGACATGACGAGCGAACGCCTTAACCACTAGGCTTAAACCCCCAACCCCCACCCCAAAGCAACAGGGGGATAAAGCAAGGCCTTCAGCGGTTCCACCATCATGTCCTTGTTAAAATGTCGCATGGTATCTCAGTAGGGAAACACTATAAAAACAAACTAAATTTGACATTTACAGAGGAGCAAGAGACACCCCCCAAGGACAAGAAGGAGAATAAAACAGGTGGAGACGATGACTACTACGGAGGAGGTGGTGGTGATGCTGACAACGGAAAGGGAAGTGGAGGAGGTGGAGACTATGACTACTATGGAGGAGGTGGTGGTGATGCAGACAACGGAAAGGGAAGTGGAGGAGGTGGTGACGATGACTACTATGGAGGAGGTGGAGGTGATGCAGACAACAGAAAGGGAAGTGGAGGAGGTGGAGGTGATGACTACTACTACGGAGGAGGTGGTGGTGATGCTGACAACGGAAAGGGAAGTGGAGGAGGTGGAGACGATGACTACTATGGAGGAGGTGGTGGTGATGCTGACAACGGAAAGGGAAGTGGAGGAGGTGGTGACGATGACTACTATGGAGGAGGTGGTGGTGATGCTGACAACGGAAAGGGAAGTGGAGGAGGTGGTGACGATGACTACTATGGAGGAGGTGGTGGTGATGCTGACAACGGAAAGGGAAGTGGAGGAGGTGGAGACGATGACTACTACGGAGGAGGTGGTGGTGATGCAGACAACGGTGAAGGAAGTGGAGGAGGTGGTGACGATGACTACTATGGAAAGGGAAGTGGAGGAGGTGGTGACGATGACTACTATGGAGGAGGTGGTGGTGATGCTGACAACGGAAAGGGAAGTGGAGGAGGTGGAGACGATGACTACTATGGAGGAGGTGGTGGTGATGCTGACAACGGTAAAGGAAGTGGAGGAGGTGGTGACGATGACTACTATGGAGGAGGTGGTGGTGATGCCGACAACGGAAAGGGAGTGGAGGAGGTGGAGACGATGACTACTATGGAGGAGGTGGTGGTGATGCTGACAACGGAAAGGGAAGTGGAGGAGGTGGTGACGATGACTACTATGGAGGAGGTGGTGGTGATGCTGACAACAGAAAGGGAAGGTGGAGGAGGTGGAGGAGGGAGGTGATGACTACTATGGAGGAGGTGGTGGTGATGCTGATGACAACGGAAAGGGAAGTGGAGGAGGTGGTGACGATGACTACTATGGAGGAGGTGGTGATGATGACGATGAAAACGGAAAAGGGAAGTGGAGGAGGAGGTGGTGGTGATGACTACTATGGAGGAGGTGGTGGGTGATGATGACAATGGAAAGGGAAGGATGGAGGGAAGTGGGAGGTGGTGACGATGACTACTATGGAGGAGGTGGAGGTGATGTGATGCCGACAAGGAAAGGGAAGTGGAGGAGGTGGTGACGATGACTACTATGGAGGAGGGAGGTGGTGGTGATGCAGAACAACGGAAAGGAAGTGGAGGAGGTGGAGACGATGACTACTATGGAGGAGGTGGTGGTGATGCTGACAATGAAAGGGAAGTGGAGGAGGTGGAGGACGATGGACTATATGGAGGTGGTGGTGGTGATGACGGAAGGAGTGGAGGGTGGACGGAAATGGGAAGTGGAGGAGGTGGATGGAGGAAATGAAGTGGATGGAGGAGGGTGGTGGTGATGCTGACGGAAAGTGGAAGTGGAGGAGGTGGGTGGATGACTACTATGGAGGGGAGGAGGTGGTGGTGATGCTGACAACAGGAAAGGGAAGTGGAGGAGGTGGAGACGATGGACTACTATGGAGGAGGAGGGTGGTGATGCTGACAACAGGAAAGGAAGTGGAGGAGGTGGAGACGATGACTACTATGGAGGGAGGTGGTGGTGATGCCGACAACGGTACAGGAAGTGGAGGAGGTGGTGACGGACAACAGAAAGGGTATGACTACTATGGAGGAGGGTGGTGAGTGATGCCGACACAATAGTGGAGGATGGAGGAAGTGGAGTGGAGGAGGTGGTGACGATGAGAACTATGGAGGAGGTGGTGGTGATGCTGACAACAGAAAGGGCAGTGGAAGTGGAGGAGGTGGAGACGATGACTACTATGGAGGAGGTGGTGGTGATGCTGGACAATGGAAAGGGAAGTGGAGGAGGTGGAGACGATGACTACTATGGAGGAGGTGTGGTGGTGATGCTGACAATGGAAAGGGAAGTGGAGGAGGTGGTGACGATGACTACTATGGAGGAGGTGGTGGAGATGATGCAGACATGGAAAGGGAAGTGGGAGGAGGTGGAGACAGGGATGGACTATGGAGGAGGTGGTGGTGATGCTGACAACAGAAAGGGAAGTGGAGGAGGTGGAGACGATGACTACTATGGAGGAGGTGGGTGGGATGGACAGTGTCGGAAAGGGAGGTGGAGGAGGTGGGGAAGGACTGGATGGAGGAGGTGGTGGATGGACAAGGAAATGGAGGTGGAGGATGATATGGAGGAGGTGGTGGTGGAGAATGGAAGTGGAGAGTGGATGGAGGAGGTGGAGGTGGACAACGGAAAGGAGTGGAGGTGGATGGACATGGTGGAAGGTGGATGGAAAGGAGGATGGACTGGAGGAGATGGATGGTGGATGGAAGGAGGTGGATGACGAGACCACGGAATGGAAATGGAGGAGGATAACGGAAGTGGAGGATGGAGGATGGAAGATGGATGGACAGTGGAGGATGGAGTGGACGGATAACGGAAAAGGTGGACGGAAAGTGGGACGACAAGGAGGGATGGACAACGGAAAGGAAGGATGGTGGTGGATGGAGGTGGAAGGACAACAGAAAGGATGGAAATGGACGGTGGATGGACAACGGAGGACGATGGAGGCGGACAGGAACATGGAGGAAGGACCCCGAGGACAACGGACAACGGAAAGTGGAGGAGGGAGTGGACAAGGACAAAGTGGACGGAGGATGGAATGGAGGACGGAAGGAGGTGGATGGAGGAAGTGGAGGGAGGTGGAGGACGGATGGATGGACATGGAGAGGATGGATAACGGAACAGGAAGGACAACGGACAACGGAGGGAAGGACAATGGAAGGACGGACGATGGACAACGGAGTGGATGGATGGACAACGGAAAGGAGGTGGACGGAGGACAACGGAAGGAGGACAGGGGATGGAGGAAGGACAATGGAAAGGGAGTGGACGGATGGTGGATGGACAGGACAAGGAGTGGAGGACAACGGACAATGGAAGGAGGGACAATGGAGGAGGACGGACAACGGAGGAAGGTGGTGGTGGATGGAGGAGGAGGATGGATAACGGAAGGTGGAGGAATGGAGGAAGGACACCAGGACAAATGGAAAGTGGAGGTGGAATGGAGGGTGGATGGAAATGGAAGTGGAGGACGGATGGACATGGAGGGATGGAGGAAGTGGAATGGATGGACGGAAGGATGGATGGATGGACAACGGAAGTGGAGGGATGGGACCATGGATGGAGTGGAAGGACAAAGGAAGTGGATGGACAGGAGGATGGACAAAATGGAGTGGAGGATGGATGATGGAGGAAGACAATGGAGGACAGTGGATGGAGTGGATGGAAATGGAAGGAGGGAGGATGGAAAGGAGGAAACAGAATGGAAGGTGGATGGACATGGAGGGAATGGAAGGAATGGAAAGGAGGAGGATGGACAGTGGATGGATGGACAATGGATGGAAGTGGACGGAAGGAGGATGGATGGACGATGGAAGTGGAGGAGTGGAGGAATGGATGGATGGAAGTGGAGGAGGTGACGGATGGAAGGAGGGAATGGATGGATGAAGGAAGTGGGATGGACATGGAGGGATGGAAGGAGGAATGGATGGAATGATGGATGGAATGGAAGGTGGAGTGGAGGTGGTGGAAGGGAAGAGGAGGTGGACACATGGACAGGAGGATGGATGGATGGACAAGGGAGGAAGGAGAGAGGAATGGAGGTGGAGGGATGGATGGACAAGACAGGAAGATGGAGGGAAGGATGGAGAATGTGGAGGGGTGGATGATGGACAACGGAAGGAAGTGGAAGGATGAATGGAATGGAGGTGGATGGATAACGGAAAGTGGAGTGGAATGGTGGATGGTGGTGGATGGCGGATGGAATGGACAGGATGGAAGATGGAGTGGATGGGATGGACATGGAGGAAAGTGACAATGGAATGGAGGATGGACATGGTGGATGGAAATGGAAAGTGGAGGATGGATGGAAGGATAATGGAAGGATGGAGGATGGGAGGGATGGATGGAGAAGGAGATAATGGAGGATGATGGAGGGAAGGAGTAATGGAAATGGAGGGATGGATGGACATGGATGGATGGAAGGAATGGAGGATGGTGGTGGAGTGGAATGGATGGACGGATGGAGGAATGATGGAGGATGGAGGATGGAGAAAGGAATGGAATATGGAATGGAGGATGGATGGATGGATGGATGGGAATGGAATGGTGGAAGGATGGATGGAGGTGGAATGGAATGGAAAGAGGAAGATGGATGGATGAAGGAAAGGAAGGATAACAGAGGATGGATGGAATGGAATGGAAGGAATGGATAATGGAGGTGGATGGACAATGGATGGAAGGAATGGAAGATGGATGGAAGGAGGTGGATGGATGGAAGAAATGGATGGTGGAGGGAAGGAGGTGGATGGAGTGAAGGACAAGGAGGAAGGAAGGAAGGACAATGGAGGTGGATGGACAGGAAGGTGGATGGATGGAGAGAAATGGATGGAAGGATGGATGGAATGGAATGGAATGGAATGGAATGGGAGGTGGAAATGATGGAATGGACGGATGGATCAAGGAATGGATAATGGAATGGAATGGATGGACAACAACGGTGTGAAATAGGAGGTGGAGACAGTGATGATGGTAGAACTGATTTAGAAACTGTTGTTATATAAACTGCCCCATCAATAAACTAGTAGATTTATCTCGTTCTTGTCTGTGTGTCGATGATTTATCAGGAAATCACAAATGTTCAATTCGTGTGCGCTAAAAATCAATTCCATGAACTATAGTTTGACAATATGGTTTGACGTTGCTATTATCAACTGTCCAGCAATATCACGGCAGAGGACACCGGGGATGGACTTCAAGCATTTACGTACATAGTTGTCTCCCTTTGACATGTCTGTAGCCTATGATCAGGGTTCAAATTGTTGTTCGTGGCGGTGGGGTAGCCTAGTGGTTAAAGCGTTGGCTCGTCACGCCGAAAACCCGGGTTCGATTCCCCACATGGGTACAATGTGTGAAGCCCATTTCTGGTGTCCCCCGCCGTGATATTGCTGTAATATTGCTAAAAGCGGCGTAAAACTAAACTCACTCACCCCAATTGCTGTTCACCATGATTTCATGTGTCAGCTCCATAGCTTTGATTTCCCCTTTCCGCCAACCTTGATTATGATGTGAAGCATTCTTCGGGTTTTGAATCCATCATCTCAACTTTTCAGTTTACAGAGAATTGGTCTTTAGCAACCCATGCTTTTCATCAGAGGCGACTAATGGGATCGGGTGGTCAGGATCATTAACATGGTTGACACATGTCATCGTATCCCAATTGCGTAGATCGATGCTCATGATGTTGATCACCCGATTGTCTGGTCCAGACTCGATTATTTACAGACTGCTGCCGTCTAGTTGGAATATTGCAGAGTGTGGAGTTAAACAGCAAACAAACATACAAATAAAATCGGTTTATTTGTTTCTATCAAACTTCTGTATTTTCAGAAACCTTGGTGAGTCATCGGAGACCTCCATCATTTGGATTGCTTCTCCCTCATTAAACAGGCACGTCATGATGTAACTGTAATTTACATTGGGGTTAAACTCAAGTTACTCACTAACTCTTATATGTGTACAGCTTTGCTGAAACAAGCGACCTTTGGGTACGTTTTCTGAATTTTATTCAACTTCAAAGCAAGTTTTGTTTTAAAAGAATAGATATTTCAGAAAGTAGTAGTACTGCACTTCTTCGATACTCCTAGCACTAAGATCAACTTGTAATTGTTTATAAAGGGCGCTATTGGTGCAGGAAATAAGTTTTGTTTTAAGTTTAATAGACAGCAGGTTGTAGACGCCCAGGTAGGTCTATTTTCTTGCCAAATCTCGGGAAGCCATATCGTTGGAGAACGATATTACCGTCGGACAACTCTCGCGGTGTCAGGGGGAAACGTGTTCCTGTTGACTTCCGGCTGATCGACGAGCCTCGTTGTGAGTCTACTTCAAATGCAGCCAGAGCTTTCGAAACATGTTTCTCTGGTATGTCTAGTTTCTGGAACAAGGCTCTAACCATTCCTTCTTTTTCCTTCACAAGCTCTTCGTACTGAACGGCAAATATCGGGATCCCACTCTCTCTGAACTCCTTGTATCTCGTCATGACACCCGCACACAGTATCATCCAGTGTCCTATGAAGGTCATGTCTGCAGCAATGTCGTCAAGGTCACGATCATAACGATCTATGCGTGAAATCATCTTGTACATATGCCTTCGGGTTCCAGGAAAGATCTTCGCGAGAAAATCAGAATCGGCAAATCCTTTGAAGATTTTAATTCTTAATTCAGACATTGCAAGTGCCTTGGAAGACACTGCATATGGCAAACTGTCTCTGTATAGAAACAGGTGCTTGATTTCAGGAAACATCTCACATATGACCTTGACCTCTGCAAAAGTGAAGGCAGCGACCTTTAGAATAATTCTTTGAGCTCCTGGCAGCGTCTTACACTGCAGCCTGATGACACTCTGCAGAAGCTTGAGAACTTCCTCTTCCGGGCAGGTTTCAAGTTTACTTAACATTGTGACAGATGTTACGGCCTCTGGTTCTCCGATGGCTATTGTTCCGGGGACCTTCTCAAACACCTGGCTGAGAAGAGTAGAGCCACAGCGTCCAGTGTTAGAGAGCCATATGACAGGGACCTGAGGGTCTCCCGTCTCGTCCGCCAGCCGATGGAAGGCTTCCACAGGAATGGTGTATACCTTCTCAGCATTGACAGCCTGGGCCCACTTCATGAAAGGATGTGAGTCTGAGCTGTAGATATCTACATCAATGGCTGTCCTAATAAATATCGCCTCTGTGGAAGTGATATTATACAGAGATACTGATGGGTCCAAGAGGATTCGAGGATGGTCAAACCTTTCGTGTGTAGTCCAAAATTCATTTGTATTTGAAGCCGTTACGTGAGACGTTTTTCTTTTCCAAACCACATGTTGTACGTGGACCGCACGTTCATAGCACGTGCTGGTAGCTGCACGTGCAGACTGTACCCCAGTAATACTCCAAATAAGGCCCTGGAGAACTTTGTATATTGGTGTCAGAATCAGGAATATGATGGAAACGAGGCTGGACGACAGGTCAGAGAACATCTTCTGGTTTCTGGGGAAGATATATGTCAAGTTCAAAGGTCACATGCAACCAAAAAAACAAACAAAATTAAAACACAATTATCACTTATACATGACATATAATATGCATGGCTGATTATGAGAAAACAAATAAATACAATTATAGGCGTACAATCGCAAATCAAAAGTGCAATATTTTGTACTTGGGTTTACTTCTCTCGAAACGAAGCACCCGGGATACCGAACCCAGTCAGAGCGGGTGGGCGTGTATCGAAGTTGTGTATTGCATATTGTCATTAGCAGACAGGCAGGCAGGCACATAGGTGTCAATAAAACAGACATTGAGTTTTGTCTGTGATAGAGGCATATCTCAATTAGAAATTCTGACAATGCTAAATATTGACGTTGATGTTAAGTATATATCGAACTGAGAAAGTGACTCGGTAAGAAGAACGTGTAGTGAAATAGTCAAATGAAATTATATAAACAGTTAAATCGGTAATCCCGTCATAACATATAAAAAACTCGCGACTGTGAAATAACAACAAAACATTAGAAAAATAGCTCACATCATAGCTTCCAACACCACTCTTTCAAAAGTTCTATTTTTTGTTCCCCCTCATTTCTTAATAAGTGTACTACCCCGTCGCCGAAATACCTTAGTTGTGCGTGCGACGCTAAATAACGCAACTAACTCAGAGCTGCGCGAACCTATTCACTGCGCATGCCCCATGGGCGCAGATCAGCGCAGCGTAGCCAGTTGTTGAAACCACTTTTCACCCCAGCTGGGGTGAATTTAGTGAATCGTTTGAACTCTGATTTCGCGGGGTTTTTTTCATCGCGTTATTTTTCAACTTTATAAGTTGAATTTGCATTTTTGTCCATTTGTTACTGTAAGTCCATACCGAAAGGTATCAGAATCTGCAAAGTTGTGTTTTACGTTGCATGTGACCTTTAATATCAAGTCTGTACTCACGGAAAGTAAATGTTTACTATCCATGTGAATCAAAAACCAGTCTCTCTTTTAACACATGCTGTGGAAAGTTGTAATGTTGTACGAGCCGTTCTAAAACTTCGTTCCTGGCTGATGACACAGTCAGTGAGATGGTGCTCAATAGGGTTTCAGTGTCACGGCATCTCAGGTTGATGATTGGGAGTTGCGGATTTCGGGTGGATTACGTAGTTGGGGATTTCGAGTGGATTGGGAGTTGGAGATTTCGAGTGGGTTGGGAGTTGGGGATTTCGGGTGAATTGGGAGTTGGGTATTTCGGGTGGATTGGGAGTTGGGTATTTCGGGTGAATTGGGAGTTGGGAATTTGGGGTGGATTGGGAGTTGGAGATTTCGGGTGGATTGGGAGTTGGGGATTTCGGGTGAATTGGGAGTTGGGTCTTTCGGGTGGATTGGGATGTCGAAGTAATGCAGGTCCTCCACGCTAAACACTTCAACACTTACTTTACTTCAATACAGTTTGAAAGTGCGACAGGTCTAAAGTTAATGAAAGTCATTAATACTACTTTTGTTATGAGTGAGTGAGTGAGTTTGGTTTTCCCTGCTTTTAGCAATATTCCATCTCGATGCTTTAATTATTTTCTCGTTGCTTCGAGCATTTTCTTGTAATATCAATTAATTTCTCATTACTTCGATTACTTTGTCATTATTAATTTCCATAATTCCAGTTTCTTCGGGGCCGGTGGGGTAGCCTTGTGGTCAAAGCGTTCGTTCGTCAGGCTGAAGACCCGGGTTCGATTCCCCACATGGGTACAATGTGTGAAGACCGTTTCTGGTGTGCCCCGCCATGATATTGCTGTAATATTGCTAAAAGCGGCGTAAAACCATACTCACTCATAGTAGTTGTTTCGAGTTGCAAAGTGGACTTACGCAGTGTGTACACCGGTTTGTACGCTTGTACCATAAACGAAAACAATATTTCGTCCCGTTGTTTGGATTATTTTCTTGTTACTTCGAATATTTATGGATACCTATTCGGGCCATCCACATATATCCCTGAAATTTCCAGGCGATTCTGAGACAACGAGTTAGTACGACACAACACTGCACTATGACAACACGAGACATGGCGATACTATGATGTACGATATAGCGATGCCCCGATCAGCCACCATACGATACAGTGAAAAACTATAATACTTCAAATATTTACTAACTGTTTTGTAAAATTTACTAACATGTTTGAGTGAAAAATGAATTTTCGAAATAACATAGGAATTTGACATAGTATACTATGTTCGTTAGTATAGTATATAAAATGGACGGTCGTTTATAGAACGGAAAACGGTAATACGCTTCTCTGTCAAAGCTCATCGCATGCAGCTGTGTACTTAATTACATATGAAAACTAGATGTATGAGATCTCATGATATATCTGGTTTTATGGATATTTCATCTTCGTCATTTCATTCTATAGCGGGGCGGTGGGGTAGCCTAGTGGTTAAAGCGTTGGCTCGTCACGCCGAAGACCCGGGTTCGAATCCCCACATGGGGACAATGTGTGAAGCCCATTTCTGGTGTCCCCAGCCGTGATGTTGCTGGAATATTGCTAAAAGCGGCGTAAAACCAAACTCAGTCAGTCAGTCAGTCATTCTATAGCCAGCGCTACGAGCAGGCGATTGTCACATGTTCACTGACGAGGTTTTGTGAAGGTAAGGCTCACTGAGCGCAGCACTCAGTATATGGCGTGTGGATCAGACAACCCAGTGACCTCCATGGCATCAATCTACGCATTTTGGAAACGATTACATGCATCAACCAAGTCAGCGAGCCTGACCACTCGACCCCGATAGTCACATAGTCTGGGTCGTTTACTTGGTATGTACTGGCAAACAAGGATAAGTTGGACCGGCGCAGAGAACGGGTTTACGAGAAGTAGGCGGTGCATGGGAATGAGCAAACCCATTTGGTTTGTGAAAGGTAGAACAGATATAGGCTAGTGCACGTGCAGTACATGGCAATGAAATTGATTCCTGCACACGCCTTGCTCATAAGACTCTCACGTGGTCGGTGTAGCGCTACACTTGATCGCGGACAACCTGGGGCCCCTTCGCTCACAATGGCAAGCGCCAGTGTGCGGCAATCATACATGCTAATACAGGTCAATTGTCAGGTCGGTGCTCAACTTATCCTTGTTTTCCAGTAGGTGCATGTGATCGTTTCCCAAATGCGTAGACTGATGCTCATGACAAAAGACCTTAGACTACGCTAAGTCTATGTTAAGGTATGGGAGTTACGGTCACCTTAACGCTAAGATTGCTGTGTACAATTTCACCCTGGTCGTATCCCGCAGTAACCGTGGCTTGTAGGCCTGAAAGATTTCCTACCCCACGATACACTTCGTCAGATCAAGCTCAGACTTAAACTGGACCGCCATTGCACGTGTCACACCACAATCAGTTCATGGCAATGTTTCGTCAGCACCTATGGACAGGAATTTACGTCTTCCAACTGAAACCCATGTCCGTGCATCAAGGATGCAAATATTTTGTGCCTACCGTGTAAACCATTGGTGGATGCACATGTTTTAAATGCGTAAGGGTCCCTTTGCAATACTCTAAGCATAGTTTTGTATGTGAGATTTTGGCTCGAAGTTCCTGCGGTTAATTTTGGAAGTGACTGTATTTTGGTGAGTTTGTGACATACGTGTCCCTTCATTAGCATTGCAAATATGTCGTGCCCTTCGTGGCAGATATTGGCTGTCCCTTTCTCTGCATTCCTCCCTCGTAACAAATAGTGAACTGTGTCAATATTTTAATGATAGTTTGTTAAACAACTTTTTTAATTTTAGGACATAAATTCTGCAAACAAACCACAGAGTTGGTCTGATGTTTTGATTATGATCAGCGTTTCATTGAGTATTATATGTTTATTAGTTTTCGAGTTAGATTGCAATTCATCGGTCCGCTTTTGAGCCAAACGGACTATGGGATTAAGTCGGATTCCTTCTTCGGGTTCGTTTTGCAAGACTCGATTGCCCCAGCCCTAGACATAAAAGGGACGGTGGGGTAGCCTAGTGGTTAAGACGTTCGCTCGTTACGCCGAAGACCCGGGTTCTATTCTCCACATGGGTAGAATGTATGACGCAACTGCTGGTGTCTGGTGAGCTTAGCACTATGTATGAAGCCATCCCTTGAAGTAATTATGGATCATACCTTAAAGTAACCGTGGATATATATGTTCATATTAATCCCTTGAATTAAATTACATTTGTCACGGGGCCTCGGCTCCATTATTTTTAAGGAATGGAGAGTTACTCGGACATTACCCTCTACGTAATATCGTGGATCATCCCTTGAAGTAACCATGGATAGGTACTAGTGCTGGGAATTGGTTAAAATCTCATAATCGATGATTGGTTCATTACAACCGATCAATCATCGAAAATAATTGGTTAGCGTCATTTATGAAATTTCCCTGTTTGCACAAAAACATAAAGAAATTTTTTGTAGTTCTTTGGTTGTGTTTTTCCACAAATTTCACATCTTTAAAGGATGACTAGTATGTTAGGAACATTAATCTCTTTGAGTCTTTAAGATAAATTTAATCATGACTTGGACTGAGCTTGTAGTGCTTAAGAAATGTAACAGACAAAACCAACCTAGTGAAAAAAATTGTTGATGCAAAAGGTGTTCCAGAATTGTTTGTATTCGATTATGAGAAAACATGATCGATTGCTTGGTCGTTTAGTCACTGCGACCAATCTTCGATTATTTCAATTAATCGGACCACCACTAATAGGTACACTCAGTACAGTCTTAAGCTAGTCCGAGCAAGACTAGTCTGAGACGTACCACTTCAACGACAGTATATATCCCCAGGACTACTGTCAACGTCGTTTACCTATTTATCACACAATCAGTTATTCACTAGCCGCTTTGACAGAGCTGAGATACAGCTGACTGGGCGTTTACTGTGCACAAGGTTATTGTGAAAGAGGCCAGGCGAGGCATGAATAGTCGCTCTATTCTGGGATACAGCTGGTCTTGTGACCTCTGAACCTTGGCTCCGCTGCAATACAACAGTAACACTGGATCACTGTGTATTCATCTGGAAGCTGCAGCTTGTATCAGAGTGCTTCGTCAAATTTGGTGAGTAAACAAAAACGTGTCATGTATTCGAGTAAACTTTGACCCGACTAGTCGGACGAGGGGCCGAAATAGCACCATCGCAATGGCGGTTATATAGACTAACGCTGAAGGGGTCGTTGTCGGCACGGGTACTTCAGATATGTACCCCAGGTACGTTTCTGTATACAGAAACGTACCTTGGCCATAATGAGAATACAGAAAAGTACCCTAGGACGATTCCATTCCCATTATGTCGTATTCTTGACCGGAACTGTCATACTGTTGTATTAGATACATTTGATTGCGTTATGTAAGTAATGAGAATACACAGTAACGGATATTTCACGATGCATATGAATATCACTTGGTTTCAGTTGAACGGAAACAACTATATACGGTTGCGCTTTTGGATTGCGGAATATGGACTAGTCCGCCTTTTAGGGTACCGGGTACGTTTCTGTATTTTGACTTTGTTTAGGGTACATATCTGTACACAGAAAGGTACCTGGGGTACGTATCTGTAGTACCTGTGCCCACAACGACCCCTTCAGCTAGACTAACGCCCTGTGTCTGAAAATACATAATTTGAGGGAAACAAATATTATTTTGAATTGGAAAGGAGAGAGATGAGGGATTCAGAACCCGTTTTGTTCCCACAGTCAGGGCTGGGCAGAAGGGAAGATCTTATCGCTTAGTGACCGCGAGACTACTAGGCTAGTTACTGTCAGGCTTTGCTCTGTTGGGAGACGTTTTGCTCGACTGGTTACGGGATCAAACTGCTACTGCGGTTGAAGGCGTCGTAGACTAACAACTAGTCTCTGAAATGAACATATTTTACTGAAAAAAAAGTTCATAGTAGAAAAAAAATAAAATATAATGAAAAGGAGCCCTGAGACTTTCTTCATTTTCAGAAGCTGAGGAAATCTAGACTTGCCACTTTTTCTAGACTTGTGTGGGCTTCCTTGGATATATTTGCTTCAGGGTCTGTACGACAGACTAAAGGGGTCGTTGTCGGCACAGGTACTACAGATATGCACCCCAGGTGCGTTTCTGTATACAGACATGTACCCTAGACAAAGACAAACTACAGAAACGTACCCGGTACCCTAAACGACGGACGAGTCCATATTCCGCAACCAAAAACCGAAACCGTATGTAAATTTAGTTGTTCCCGTTCAGCTGATTGCGAGTGGTGTACCTTGTGCACCGTGACATATTCATTACTGTGTACGCTCTTATATAACGATATCAAATGCATCTAATACAACAGTATGACCGTTCCGATGAAGAAAACTCCACAATACAGAATGGAATCGTCCAAGGGTACATTTCTGTATTCTGATTTTGGCTAGGGTACATTTCTGTATACAGAAACGTACCTGGGGTACACATCTGTAGTAGGGCCGACAACGACGCCTTCAGCGCTACTGCGCATTGCTTTGTCCATAGTCACTGAAACTCAATGCGCAGGTCCAAATGATGTCTCACTGTCATATGTAAACTGACTGAGTTTAGTTTTACGCCGCTTTTAGCAATATTCCAGCAATATCACGGCGGGGGACACCAGAAATGGGCTTAACACATTGTGCCCATGTGGGGAATCGAACCCGGATCCTCGGCGTGACGAGCCAACGCTTTAACCACTAGGCTACCCCACCGCCCCGTCATATGTAAAAACATAAAGTAATTTTGGATGATGTTGTGTGTGGTAAATAAAGGTTTTGATCTATGCAACTTGTACCAAAACATTTAGCTTCACAAGTACAATAGTCATTCTGAAATAAAGCTTTTTACGTGACCGAAATGTACGTTACCAGTTTGGACGACACTAACGAAAGAAAGTGTTGCACACAGGTTTTGTGCAAGGTTCATGAACCAGTACCATGTGGCAAGTCACAGCGTACGTTCAAACTGAGTCGTTGAGACCTAAACCTGGTTGCAGAGAAGTTTGAAAATTACAAGTGGTATGTCCGTTACCCCCTTAAAGCCCCCGTGTATTTGGCAAAACGCTTTGTTGTACTCATTGTTTTATCGTTTTAAACTGGTTTAAAGCCTATGTTGCCCCCTCACTGATACCGTAGTATTTGACCGCCTCCGTGCTGTAGTGGTTAGAGCGTCCGCCCGGAGTGCGGAAGGTCGCGGGTTCGATCCCCGACCGCATCATACCAAAAGACGTTAAAATATGATACTTGTTGGTCCCTGCCTGGCGCTCGGCATTAACGGGTACAACAAGGACTGGTCGACTCGGAGTCAGTATACTGTGTCTGAGTGGGGTATTCATGCTTCACTGCGGCATGGTATCTCAGTGGGCTAGCGCTATAAAACCAGCTTCAGTCTGGGCTAGTACAAGCAGCCGCACTTACACATACACACGCATGCACGTCATCATATGAGCGAAATATTCTCAAGCACAACGTTAAACCCAATTCCACCACCGTAGTATTTACTAGGCGAAAACAAAGTAACAGGGGAAGGCAACTTGATTTGAAATGTACGTTTTATAACAGATTAAGTTGTGGAGCTCACAAACTAGGAACGATGTCTCTTGTATTTCTATTTGTTTTATGTATCCCCCCATGTGTGTGTTAGACTGTCAAGTGAATCATTATCTGATGCAATTTATTGATGGGTTATTAAATAGAATACTTGTTTATAAATAGTCCGTTTGGCTCAAAAGCGGACCGATGAATTGCAATCTAACTCGAAAACTAATAAACATGAAATACTCAATGAAACGCTGATCATAATCAAAACATCATACCCACTCTGTGAGGTGTTTGCAGATTTTTTGTCCTAACAATCACAAAGTTGTTTAACAAACTATCTTTAAAATATGGACACAGTTCACTATTTGTTACGAGGGAGGAGTGTAGAGAAAGGGACAGCCAGGTGTTCGAGAACGGATGGAGACGGCACAGCACAGGTTAATGAATAAATAACTTTGTCTGTGCCCATGCAAAAGATTATTGATTCATTAACCTGTGCTGTGCCGTCTCCATGCTTCTCGAACACCTGGCTGTCCCTTTCTCTGCACTCCTCCCTC